TGGGGAAAAATGCGATTTTTTCAAAAAATTCTACTTTCTTTGAGAGAAAACCAAACTTAAAATTGGTAAATTGCAGGAGTGATTATAACATTACAGAAGGGCTCTTTGATTTTCATAGTGTCATATAGATTTCCTATAAACAGCTGGCTTTCTTTTCATATAGAAATCATAGTGGTATAATTTAATGTACAGGAAATTTTATGTACTCAAGAACTCATCTATTGCATAAAGCAGAATACTCCTATCGCATAAATAGAATTAAAAATTGAGTGATTTACTCTTAATTTTACATCTATACAGCACAAAAATAAAATAGAGAATTAGCTATTACTAGGGGAAGAAACGCATAGTAACTCAAAGAGTCGCTATGAGTCGGAATTGGCACGACGGCAACGGGTTTAGGGGAAGAAAGACTTAGTTATCTTACAGTTTTTATACAAATCAGAGAAAAAAAATTTTCTTGAATGATCTATAATTATCTAGAATAGGGACAAATAAGAAGCCTGTGAAATGGCTACCATCAAAACAGCTTGAATTTATTCTGCACTATGTAGATCTTGAGGAGGGCTACTTGAAAGCTGGAATTGAGTATTGATATTGAACTTAGGGGCATCATGTATACACAGTGAAAAAGTTCTGCCAAGACTTGAATTTTTAAGGTTTATAGCCAAAATGGAATCTTTTGATTGTTATAAACCCCTCATTAATCTTTCTTATTAATGCCATTCCATGTACTTCAATAGTTGTAGTTGCTGAAATTATATAGGTGGTAGTATTGAAAACGAATAAGATCAATTGCAAGGAGTGTGCCATAGTAAGGTAAGATGCTAAAAACAGGGAAAACTGAGTGAGGGATGGAGCCTTGGTTGCACAGTGGGTTAAAAGCCCTCCTGCTAACCAAAAGGTCGGCAGTTTGAATCCATCAGCTGCTCCTTGGAAACCCTATGGGGCAGTTCTACTCTGTCCCATAAGGTCACTCTGAGTCAAAATCAACTCAATGGCAATGAGTTTTGGTTTGGGTGAGGGATATATGGGAACTAGTACAATCCTCTAAATTTTTCTGTAAATCTAAATTTGTTCTAAAAAATAAAGTCTATTAAAAAAACTAACAAGAACAAAACTGATTTCTGTTTTATACAATCTCATTGTTCTAGGGTTGTTTCTATTATCTGTAAGATGTAAGTATTTAGAGGCAAAACAAATATTAAAATATTCCTGTAATATTTTCCTTTTGAAAATGTCACATTACTTAACTATTTGAACTATTTCCAGATTTTAGTCCAAACCTCTATCTAATATTTGGCATCCTGGGTACCTAACAAGAATAGTATAATACAGATTTTTATTTCTTCTTCAAGGCAAAAATGCATGGAAAATTTCTTGCCCCTATTATCTCTAACAAGTTTAAAGCATATTGATTTTACTTACATTCAAAATTGGTTTATGTTTAGATTTAAGAGTTAGGTTTAATTTATATTTTGTAATTAATTAAACATTTCCTAAAGCTAAAGACTAATATATAGCAGATCTTTGGAACTTTTATTATATATAGAATATAATACAAATGTATGCAGTTTCATACACAGTTGATAATATGAAATTTTATCTTAACCTGAATTGGTATTTTAAATATTATTATTAATACTATTCTTACTGAAGCTATTACCTGAAGCTTATTCCTTTAGTGGTTTTTTTTATTTCAATAATACATATATTTTATTTTTTAAACCATTGAAGACTATAACAAATATATTCTAGTGACTATAGTTTTAATCAGTGCTTAGAAATACTGATGCTTTGTGCTATTTCTGTGATTAGTCTGATGACATTTCTGAGTTTAATTTTTTTATTACCCAGATATCTTTCAGAGATTGGCATATTGATTATTCTAATTAATATTCTATGTACTTGGATGGTATTTTTATTTCTAAAGAATTCAACAGCACAGCCACTATAAGTGATGTGCTGGTATGTTATCATATAAATGCTCAAGGTACAGCTTCTAATGTTGAAAAATAGAAAAATAAATTGACCTTGATGAAGTGTGTCTTCTTTTGTCTCTTCCCAGGAAAGTTTATTTCAGGCATTTCTACTGCTGAAATGATTAGCGTTAACAGCTTTTTCCCTCCATTTTATTTTACAAGGTCTCTTCATCTTCCTGATATATGGGGTGTACAACACAGAGGTAAGTCGGCTTGGAGTATCTCAAGGCTGACAGAGTGAATGAGAGAAATGACAGGTTTCTTATCTTGATAACTGAGGAACAAAGTTGGCTTTTCATATGAGTGTCCTACTGCCCTTCATGCTTGGACTGGCTTATATGCATCCCAGCTTACTATTAAACACTGACACCCTGAATAAAGGGACAGCCTCATTTCTCACAGGTGTTGACTAACATTTTACCACTACCTTAAGTTTTTGAATTTTCAGTCTTTCTGTTAACACTTAGCTATACTTTAAAGGACTGAAGTTTCACAGTTTAAGTGGCAGAATGTTCATATGCAGTTGCGTGGAGTTATAAAAGTACTGATTTTTGTTATTTCAAAATGCTCATTAAATAGTCTTTTAAGCTTTTGAGGTAGGCTCAGAGGTCTGTAAGGATTAATAATCTTTATGGTTTCAATTGTGAAATTTCTAAGTTATTTGTTGTTGTTAGGTGCTGTCGAGTCCCTGTGTACAACAGAATGAAACACTGCCCAGTCCTGTGCCATCCTCATAATCGTTGTTACGCTTGAGCCCATTGTTTCGGCCACTGTGTCAATCCATCTCATTGAAGGTCTTCCTCTTTTCTGATGACCCTCTACTTTACCAAGCATGATGTCCTTCTCGAGGGACTGATTCCTCCTGATAATATGTGCAAAGTATGTGAGACGAAGACTTGATATCCTTGCTTCTAAGGAGCATTCTGGCTGTATTTCTTCCAAGACAGATTTGTTTGTTCTTTTGGCAGTCCATGGTATATTCAATATTCCTCGCTAACACCATAATTCAAAGGTGTCAATTCTTCGGTCTTCCTTATTCACTGCTCAGCTTTTGAACGCACATGAGGCGACTGAAAACACCATGGCTTGGATCAGGCGCACCTTAGTCCTTAAAGCAACATCTTTGCTTTTTAACGCTTGAAAGAGATCTTTTGCAGAAGATTTGCCCCATGTAGTACGTCGTTTGATGTCCTGACTGTTGCTTCCATGGCTGTTGATTATGGATCCAAGTAAAAAAAAATCCTTGACAGCTTCAATCTTTTCTCCATTTATCATGATGTTGCTTATTGGTCCAGTTGTGAGGATTTTTGTTTTATTTATGTTGAGGTGTAATCAATACTAAGAGAAGTTATTTAGCTAGAAATATTGTGAAAAAATTGACTTGCAATTTCATTAAGAAAATATGCTATTATAAATAAACTCATCATGGTTCTAGTTCTCTTATTAAAATATTCTGTGATTCATTAGTATACTTCATTAGGAACGTTGTTGGCTTAGGTTTTTGCATGCTTAACGTGTGAGTGCCTTGTATGTATTAGGCACTGAATATATATTTGTTTGTTTCATTTTTGTTGATCTGACTTTGCTTTTAAGATTTTACTTTGTAATTTTCCCTTAAGAGAAAGAATTCGTAATTTTGCATACATTTTCCAGCATTCTATACTGGATCCTAGAGAATGGATCCTAGCAGAGATCTTTGAAGGGCCTGGTAGTCAATCGAGGAGCGCTGATGACCTAGTGGCTAAACACTTGACTGGTAGCCAAAAGGTCAGTGGTTGGAATCCACCAGCCGCTCTACAGGAGAAAGAGGTGGCAGTCTGCTTCCCTAAAGATTTACAGCCTTGGAAAGTCTATGTTGCAGTTCTATTCTGTCCTACAGGGTGGCCACGAATCGGTATTCACTGGGCTGAAGTGGGTTTGGTTTGGTTTGGTGGGTGGTCGATCTTTCACAAATAATGTAAGGGGTTCCCGTTAAAAATCCACTGCCATTGAGTCGATTCCACTCATAGCGACCCTAGAGGACAGAGTGGAACTTTGCCATAGGGTTTCCAAAGCTGTAAATCTTTAGGAAAGCAGACTGCCACATCTTTCTCCCTTGGAGCGGCTCGTGGATTCGAACCGATCTTTCGGTTACCAGCCAAGTGCTTTAACCACTGTACCAGGAGGACTGCTATGTAAGGGGCTAGGCAGCTGTGTAGGGGGCTAGGCAGCAATATAACGTGGCAAACAAACTCATTAGCACAGGCTGCTAAGGTATGTGGGCATTTAAATAACTTCTGATGATGATGGAGTGTATGTGGGCGTGTTTTACAGGACTGCTGCACCTGGATTACACGTGGTTTCCTTTTCCAGTAGCCTTCAGGTAGGTTGGCAGTAAGACAATATTTTTTTTTTTCCTGCAATGGTACCTCTATTGCGGTTTCAAAGTAGGCTCCTCCTATAAATACAAAAAATAAGCGCCCATTCATAAAGTGTTTCCAAAACTAAGAGGGATACAGAGGCAAGCTGTTCTAAACAAATGTTGAGCATTTGACGTTTAACGCTTTTAGGCAGAACTTAGAATCAAGAATGTCCTAAGTGACCCGCTTCATGGGTTTGGATTTTGATTTAATACCTGGAATGCAAACTGTAAAGTGAAGAAAGTCCCAGCATTCAGTCCTCAGTTTACCCCATCTTCTCCTTCAGCCTCTTTCTCTGCAGCTCCCACGCCACGCTGCAGTACCGTCCCCGTAATTTCCCGCCCCTTGGGTTCCACCTCTTGAGCATTATTTGCCCCCAAAACTCTCAGCCACTTTCACCTCCTTCAGTGCAGCCCACCAACCACGCCTAACCTCCTCCGACGCCCCTCTCTAGCGGGGCTCGACATCCCCGCCCCTCCCGCCATGGGCCACCCCTCCGCCCAACCGCCCCAGTGATTGACAGGCAGGCCGGGCGGAAGCTGCGGCGCAGGCGCCCTGGCTCCGCAGAGCTCCCCTCTGGCCGGGTCGAGGAGTTCCCAGCAGACACCGCGCCGCGGCTGCGCAGTACAGAGGAGGCTTTTAATTCCATTGTGGAGAGGACGGCGTTATTTTTATTAACTGGAGGCGACGGCGGCTGCGGCGGCGGCGGGACCCGTAAGTGTTGCCGGTGGGCCCGGAAGGGAGAGGGCGAGCCCCAGGGAAGAGCCTCAGAACCCTGCGTGCCGGTGCCGGAGCCGGCTGGGCTGGGAATTAGTGCTGGGCGCGTTGCGGTCTGGGCGGCGGCGCGGCGGGGTCCTGAGTGCTGCGGTGGTCCCGGCCCGGGGCCCGGTTCCACCTCCTTTCCTCCCTTTTCCCCCTTCTTCCTCCTCTTCTCAGCCAGGCCTCCTCCGGGGTATGAAAATCGGCAGCGGGTTCCTGAGTGGCGGCGGTGGTACCGGCAGTAGCGGTGGTAGCGGCTCGGGCGGCCGTGGTGGTAGCGGCGGCAGCAGCAGCAGGAGGGCAGAGATGGAACCCACCTTTCCCCAGGGTATGGTTATGTTCAACCACCGGCTTCCCCCGGTCACCAGCTTCACCCGGCCGGCGGGGTCGGCGGCCCCTCCCCCACAGTGCGTGTTATCCTCCTCTACCTCCGCCACCCCGGCCGCTGAGCACCCCCCTCCGCCAGCCCCGGACATGACTTTCAAGAAGGAGCCGGCGGCGTCAGCCGCGGCCTTCCCCTCGCAGAGGACCTCCTGGGGATTCTTGCAGTCTTTGGTTAGCATCAAACAAGAGAAACCTACCGATCCTGAGGAGCAGCAGTCCCACCACCACCATCATCACCACCACTTTGGGGGACTGTTTGCTGGGGCTGAAGAGAGATCTCCAGGCCTAGGAGGCGGAGAAGGGGGGAGCCACGGCGTCATCCAGGACCTCAGCATTCTCCACCAGCATGCCCAGCAGCAGCCAGCCCAGCACCACCGCGACGTGTTACTCAGCAGCAGTAGCAGGACTGATGACCACCATGGCAACGAGGAGCCAAAGCAGGACACTAATGTCAAAAAGGCAAAGAGGCCAAAGCCAGAATCTCAGGGAATCAAAGCCAAGAGGAAGCCAAGTGCATCTTCCAAACCTTCTTTGGTTGGAGATGGAGAAGGTGCCATCCTCTCCCCAAGTCAGAAACCTCATATCTGTGATCACTGTAGTGCTGCTTTCCGAAGCTCCTATCACCTGCGGAGACATGTCCTCATTCATACAGGAGAAAGACCTTTCCAGTGTAGCCAGTGTAGCATGGGTTTCATTCAGAAATACCTATTGCAGAGACATGAGAAGATTCACAGCAGAGAGAAGCCATTTGGATGTGATCAGTGCAGCATGAAGTTTATTCAGAAGTACCATATGGAAAGACACAAGAGGACACATAGTGGAGAAAAGCCATATAAATGTGACACTTGCCAACAGTATTTTTCGAGGACTGATAGATTGTTGAAGCACAGGCGCACATGTGGTGAAGCCATAGCTAAAGGAGCAGCTAGTGCAGAACCTGGGTCATCAAACCATAACAGTATGGGTAATCTGGCTGTGTTGTCTCAGGGAAATACAAGTTCTTCAAGGAGAAAAACAAAGTCAAAAAGCATAGCTGTTGAAAATAAGGAGCATAAGACTGGTAAGACAAATGAGTCACAAATTTCAAATAACATAAACATGCAGAGTTACTCAGTAGAGATGCCTACTGTGTCTTCCAGTGGAGGCATAATTGGCACTGGTATAGATGAGTTACAGAAAAGGGTGCCAAAAGTGATCTTTAAAAAAGGAAGCAGAAAGAACGCAGACAAAAACTACCTTAATTTTGTGTCACCGTTACCAGACATAGTTGGACAGAAATCATTGTCTGGGAAACCAAGTGGCTCACTTGGTATAGTGTCAAATAATAGTGTGGAGACCATTAGTCTTCTCCAAAGTACAAGTGGCAAGCAAGGTCAAATAAGTAGTAATTATGATGATGCCATGCAGTTTTCAAAGAAAAGAAGATATTTACCAACTGCCAGCAGCAACAGTGCCTTTTCTATAAATGTAGGACACATGGTCTCCCAGCAGTCTGTCATTCAGTCTGCAGGTGTCAGTGTTTTGGACAATGAGGCACCATTGTCACTTATTGACTCCTCAGCTCTAAATGCTGAAATTAAGTCTTGTCATGACAAGTCTGGAATTCCTGATGAGGTTTTACAAAGTATTTTGGATCAGTACTCCAACAAATCAGAAAGCCAGAAGGAGGATCCTTTTAATATAACGGAGCCACGAGTGGATTTACACACCTCAGGAGAACACTCAGAATTGGTTCAAGAAGAAAATTTGAGCCCAGGCACCCAAACACCTTCAAATGATAAAGCAAGCATGTTGCAAGAATACTCCAAATACCTCCAGCAGGCTTTTGAAAAATCCAATAATGCAGGTTTTACTCTTGCACCCAGTTTCCAGTTTGTCAGTTTGTCCTCACCTCTTCACAACCACACTTTATTTCCAGAAAAACAAATATACACTACGTCTCCTTTGGAGTGTGGTTTCGGCCAGTCTGTTACCTCAGTGTTGCCATCTTCATTGCCAAAGCCTCCTTTTGGGATGTTGTTTGGATCTCAACCAGGTCTTTATTTATCTACGTTGGATGCTACACATCAACAGTTGACACCTTCCCAGGAGCTAGATGACCTGATAGATTCTCAGAAGAACTTAGAGACTTCATCAGCCTTCCAGTCCTCATCTCAGAAATTGACTAGCCAGAAGGAACAACAGAAAAACTTAGAGTCCTCAACAAGCTTTCAGATTCCATCTCAGGAGTTAGCTAGCCAGATAGATCCTCAGAAAGACATAGAGCCTAGAACAACGTACCAGATTGAGAACTTTGCACAAGCATTTGGTTCTCAGTTTAAGTCGGGCAGCAGGGTGCCAATGACCTTTATCACTAACTCTAATGGAGAAGTGGACCATAGAGTAAGGACTTCAGTGTCAGATTTCTCAGGGTATACAAATATGATGTCTGATGTAAGTGAGCCATGTAGTACAAGAGTAAAGACACCCACCAGCCAGAGTTACAGGTAAGGTCCCAAAAGTGACCAGGCTGGGGGTCTTCTAATGTAATTTTGTTTTATTTTGAGAACACTGCCATTGGAATGTTTCTACACGATCCTATTAAGAATAATGTAATGCCCTTTCAATGCAACTTTTCATATTTAGTTTATTTTGTTAGCGTGATTTTAGCTCTGTTTGTATTATGATTTTTAATCAAAATCAATAGATTAAAAATAGTTTGACATTCAAAGTGACAATATTAGCAATCAAATTTACATGTATAGATTGTCAGGGAATAGCCCAAAAGTTTTAAATGCAAAAAAAAAAAAAACAAAAACAAAAAAAAAAAACCACAAAAACCTAGGGGAAAAAAAAACAAAACAAAAAAAACTTTGTTGCTAGGATTAAGGTTATTCTAATTGCTTTTCTCTCAGGAAAGTGTAATAACGCATGGGAATTCTGTACGTTATCACTGTAATGGAATATCCAATTTATAGATAATATGATATACATTTCATCATTTAAGTAAGGGATCGAAAACATTTCAAATTGCTCTATCTGGGCTGATAAGATACACATTTCATCATTTAAGTAAGGGATCGAAAACATTTCAAATTGCTGTCTCCATCTGGGCTGATCCAAAATTCTGAGATGTTGGCTACCTTATTTTTGTTGCAGCTTTTAAATGTACTCTGAACTTCAGACCACATTCATTCCAGCTTGGTAGAACAAATATTCTTGGATCTTTGATCAAAGCCTGGAATGATAGCTTTAAGAAGGAAAAAAGCACCCTCCCCTTATCACAACTGTAGCAAGGCTGTAATTCCATTAAGAGATTCTACTGACGTCTAGTACAGTGTTGAAGCCCGAGTGATTGATTGGTTCCAGTATTAGAACCCAAGTTGGATTACATAATCCATTGCAGTTTGGGGAATCCATTATTTATTATACATGGCCTAAAACATTGTTCTCTTGTCTGTGCTATCACCCACACTTTTCCTGTTTTTGGTTCTTGTTCTTAACCTATCTTCTTTCTTAGAGTTCTGGGCCTTCCTTGTTTTCTCTTCTCCCTATCTTGATAGTTTAAATTTTAGAATGATTTACATGCTGATAATTCATTATGCATTTTGTATGCCTTGTGGCATCCAAATACTGAATAATAGGATAAACACCCCCACCCCTTTTTTAAACAAATCCTATACAAATTTCCATGTATAATAGAATACATATTTAGAGCTATTGATATTGATAAGGTTGTAATTCCAACTGGTGACATAGCTAGTGTGAGGGATAAGAGTGTCTGCATTTGTGATGACATCAGAACCTCTGAAATTGCAGCCTTTGATGTACATTTTTAAAGGGTACATTAGTATTGTACATGGGTCTTGTAAAGTCATCAAAATTTGCTATGAACGCTAATTGCCATTTGAAGCTACTGATAGGCAGTGGCTCTGCTCTAAACCACTTTTTAGCAATTGTATTTTTTTTCTGATTATATTTTTTAATGTACTTTGATGTTTTTGCTGATGAGTTTTTTATGTACTTTTGGTGATGTTTCAGTCTTACGTACTCTTCTGATGTCAGAAAAGTACCACTGGTTGTTTGCAGTCTTATTGTGTAATCAGCCTACCACAGGCTTCCATGTATAATAAAGTAATTAATATTGTGCAAGTGTAAAACACTTCTGTTATGAAAGCAGTGTTTGGAAAGATAAGAATTATTAAAAAATGGTTACAAAATACTAGTTAATTTCCTTTCCCCACTTATTCTCCCTTAAGTCTTCTTTATCAGCTAAAAAGTGACCTATTTGTCAATGCAAGGTTCTTAGAAAATGTATTTAATCCCCTTAAATACACTCAGTACTAAAAAGTTTGTATTTCTTACTTCAGTAAGTGCGGTAAGTTCTATTGGGTACAGAGTCCAAGCTGTAATGAAAGGATGGAGAGGACTTTTACCACTGTATCTCTTAAGCTGTATGATTTTTCTCCAGTTTTTTGTTTTATACAGGTTTTGAATTTCTTTAACTTTTATTGTGTGTACTGAATACTGCATATGTATTATTCTGATTGTTTGCTCTAGTTTACTACCAATAAAAGCCCTGTTAATCACAAAATTGAAGAAAGGAGATAATCACTTAATATCCAGTCACATTTTTCAGATTTTCCTGTTAACTACATTTATTAAATATTCACATCAGTGGTGTAACCTGCACTTTAGGGACTTGTAGTTTTATTGCATTTTTTTAAAAAATTAAGTATTTTATATTTCTAAATTTATTTGAAAATTAGAATATTTTCTTTGTGTTTGAGGTGCAGTATAATATGGAAGGATAAAAATATAATACTATGTAAATTAAAACATGTTTTATTAAAATCGGGTTGGTGGACCTAAATATTACTCCAGAGAGATTATGTATTTATTGAGGCTTTATTTTAAATCAGATTCCAATATCTTTTGGTTCTAGGTGCATCCTTTTTGCCTCAAAAAGGTTGTAATAAAATAACAGTATGACACAAATGAAAGTGGTCATGAGCATTTTTAGTAGAAGTATTGTTAAGTCATAGTTAGCAATGTTAAAGTTGAGAGTATAAATATTAGAAATTGCTAAGACATGAATATTGGAGATACAGGAAAGGCATTTGAAAAGGTAGTAAATACATTAATTTTTAAAGATGAAGGAGAAAGATGGAAGATCATGAGAAAATTGTGCTTTGAAATTTAGTGGTTACAAATGTGAGGGATTAGGAGTAAAAATATTAAAGGGGTAAAATATGCCTTTGAGGCTTTGGTTCAGACTTCTTTTGGTACTTTGGTATACGGTAGTATTGTAGGAAGATGTTAAAATGATTTATATTAAGCATAGCATGGATTTCTCTGTGAAGAAATATCTGTACTTGTGGGCCATATGATTAGGAAGTATAAATTAATTTCTTGACAAGGTTATTCCTTTGATTTGGTCATTTTCTTGAACGAGAATGTTGAGCCGAATTTCACTGATTCTGTGTTGAAATCTGACTCTTCTTGATCTCTCTGCACAGATGATTTATTTCTCTAGATTAGCCCCACCCTCCCTCCTTTTTTTTTTTTTTTTTAATCCTGTGGAATGTCTGTATCTGAATATGATCGTTTTGAAATTTGTGTTTTTACTTTCAAGACATTAGGATATGAAGTAGGAAGCTATACTTTGGATTTCTTTTGTGCTGGTATAAATTCAAGTTATGGACCAAGAATATAATTTAGCAATTACTGGTCAGTAATTTGTGAGATAATTCAATAATGAGAATAGAAATGTGTGGAAAAAAGTGTACTTACATTAAATTTTTTAATGTTATTTTTTTTATTGCAAACAGTGGTACAAATACTTCAACTTCACATGTAGTTTTCTGTATTACACTAATGAGATGAGAGGCAAAACTTTTTACTCATTTTTGGTATCTGGCATTTTGCAGTTATTTGCCATTAGTAGTGTGTAAGCCAAAACTGGGTGACAGTTTAAATGATACGGCCTCATGGGGACATATGTAATCCATAGCTTCCAGATTCGTAGGTTTTTATTAAACTGAAGAACTTTACTCGAAGAAATTAGCTTCTAAACTTCAGAATTCTATTTTTAGAGTTGAACACATATTTAGAGACTCATTTTGTGAGTGTTACGGTCTTGTTTTCTATGATACCCAATGACAACATTTCATTTTTTAAATGTGATGCAGTACTCCTTTGGTAGTTATATGGTCCATGCATCACGTTGCATAAGATTATGTTAGTAATGTTCCATGAATATTTTGTTATGGAATCTCTTCTGGTACTTGAGAGATGTTTACGAGTCTGCTTTGTACTTTATATGAGATGATAAAGAGTTCCTGATAGCTCAGGAAACCTCAAAAATGTTGTGTTAATCAGTTCCACCTGTTATATTTTTAATGTATTTATTATTTCAAATGAACATATGCTGATGCTAAAAGACAGGATCTTGGAATTCATTGTGGTACCCCTCATCAAGAACAATCTTAAAAAAAAAGAAATCTTCACAAGCTGTAGTTTTTGCAGAGATTGTTACTATAAAGGGTGGATACACTTTTTAATTATTTCTACTTTTTTGTATTTGTTTTGCTTTTTCCAAAAAGTATTGACTGAGTGTGACTAACTTAAGTAGATTATATTTACTTTCTTGATGAACTTTTGGATCACCCTATTGGAGTGCTGCTGAACATTTTCGGTGTCATAGATTCTTTGGGTGATAATGGAATCTATACCACCTTGCCCCCCTTAGCAAAATTATATCTGCACACGAAAATTTACAAGCCAGTTTACATGTTCACAAGACCTCTCCCCCGAAAAAAATGTTTACCTATGGAATTGGTTAAGTGTCCCTGCCTTAGAAATCTGCCTAAATATTAAAATGTTATTGTACAAATAAAAAGTCAATGCCTAAACTAAAAAAGCATCATATATTAAGGATATTTAAATTTTTCTTTATCTGCAATTTAATTAATTAGCATTTATAGACCACATTTAGGTTATTAAAACCGTAGTTTCGTGATAAACTGGTCAAATAATGAGTTGAATAGAATTTATAATTCTTTGCACAGTTTCTCATCTGATAATTAGTAAGGACCACACAGATGCTAGACTTGACAATAGTTCAGTATTTTCCGTTAACAAAGAAGTGTGTTAACAGTGTGCAATAACTGCAGTCAACTACTCAGACAATTCAGTGGCAAAAATGAAAGAAAACCCATGCCAACCCACACCTTTTTACTGAGAAGAAATAATGAGGATTTAATAACGTTGAGACTATACTTCATATAGCCTCGGTATCACTGGCTAGGTTGAAGTTTACTGTGTAAGATAAGCTTTGTAAAGCATGCTATATGTTGAAATATCTCTTGGGAAGACTAGATAAATAACGGGAAAAAAAATTTGGACCTTACACTCCAAAGAGGAAAGTGTGTTTTCTGTATTAGTAGGAAAGAGAATAATGAGCAGAAGTCGAGTATTAAGGAAGGTTAAGGGATATCTTAGAATGGAGAAGAAAAGAAAATAGATTTTAAAGGAAAATGGAGCATATGAAATTCATTCCAATATTGACAGACGTCCTGGAGTATTTAAGTAATTAGAAGGGTAAAGGAGATCTTTGGTTGAAAAAAACTGCATATTTTATCATTCTGTCAGTTCAGCCTTCTTTTGGTACTTTGGTATGAACTTTAGTACTATTGTGGAACAATTAATAAATAACTCTTAGCAGAAGAGTGTGGCGAACTGTTTACATTGTCAGTCTAGTAAAAAGATGGCTAATCTTTGTGTTTATATATTAAATGATTTTCTTAGTGATTCATAAAAGTGCACAGCTTCTGTTGGTTGGTAAGAATTTTAAATAACTTTTTCCTTACCAAACAATTTTAGTCAGAATTGTTACATGTGACCAAATGACCATGTGCAGAACTAAGGGATTAAAACAAAAGCTTTGAATCCACATTCCCTACCCATTGAAAAAGAAATTTACAGGTACAGTGTATAAAGACGTACGGTATTACGACAAAGGAAAAGTGAGTGATCTTTAAGAAGTTGAAAACCCTTAATTATTTTTGAAGTATTTGCTTTGAAAAGTGTTGTTTAATTTTAACTCGTGACTAGCTGGTTGGTTTATTCTACTTCAGATAAGAATCTTGTTTTATAAGCATTTTCTGTTAGAAAATTAAAGTTTTAGTTGGGGGCTAAAGTTTTAATCTGAGTTTTGGGATAAATACAGTTTTTGAAATCTGAAAGTGACATTTTCAGATTTTTTTTTTTTAAACAGTGGATTGCAGAATTGAATAACAAGATCAGCAATATAACTCTTAACGTTTGGCTGTGCATAAACTAGGCTGTTCCTATAAGGAAGCCAAGTGCAAATATTTGAAAGTGAGTTCCTTCTTTTTGGAGGATAATGAGAACTGTAAATGGGTATCATTGTGGGTCTCCATGAATAGACAACCCATGACCTTGATCAGTTTAGTAGTGGAACTGGAAAGAGCTTTCCTGAGGCTGCAGTTTCTTAGTGGTCCAAACCAACAGAAGTGCTTAGTCCAGATTAGAAGGCAGACTGAGACCTGGAATTTTCATCTTGCAAATGGATAAGGTACAGGAATAAAAATTATTATGAAAAAGTTTGCATATAATAGGCCCAATATGTAAATTTTATTCAATAATCACATCATTAGAAAACAGCAAGGTCCATAGCACTGCATACATGCTTCAGAACATTTTTAAATATTTATCTTGTACTTGCTTTCCACTTTTATTCATTATAAGTAATATTTCAATGAACATCTTAAAATTGTGTTAGTCTATAAAGGATTATGTAGTTTTTAAGGTAAATTACTGTAGAATTTTATTTTTTTGGATTTGGGAGGCAGAGCAGCAGAAGTTCCCAGTGTTTGTTAAATTTTTTTATGAAGTCTATTAAGATAGTTCTATATTTATCACTTTTAGAATAGTTAGCTGTATGTTTTCATAAGAGTGTTTATGCTGTTGGTTATTTAACTGACCTCTTAGAGGTTTAGTTTAGAAAATTTGCAAGGGTAATCTGGAACCATTACACTCTCAACTTTTTAAATTGCCTCTTATTTTTAATAAGGAAAAAATAGATTGTTCAGGATTTATTTGGAGAAATATATATTTACAAAAAGCCTGTGAATGTTGAACGTGGTGTAAGAAACAGTATTAAAACTCTTGTCACAGATTTGTCTTTGAAAGGGAAGGAAGGACTGTTAAGGACAGAGTGAGAAGGGATCTAAGGAGATTAATATTAATGGACAGGTCCACCATAGTCATGTAGTTAAAAAACCTTAAAAATTTGCATTAGATACATGTGGAAGACTGTTAATAATGGTAAACTGATAAGGGTTTCTATGGGTTACTGCTGATGAGTCATAGGAATGTATTATGAAGGCAAAATTAAAATGTGATTTGGAGAGATTTCTGGAGCAGCCTGTTAGAGTGAGTAGAGAATTAAAATTTTTCGTTTCGTTCCCTCTTTCATTTTATTAAACTTCTAAACCAAATTGATATTTGGGAAGGAGAAGGAATATTAATAAGTGATAAAACGGTATTTGTGCTGATAATGCTAGTGTATGTCGTATAAAAAGGAGAAAAGGTAGTATTTAGGAGAAGATGGGAGAAAAAGGAATGCCTTACTTAAAATAGTTATTACTCTTAAATAAATGTACATAAGAACATTTACATTTCCTCTCTTGAAGCTGTCAGAATTTCAAATTACTCTAATTTATTCCAAACTTAATTTGGAAAAGATAGTACCTTCACAAACAACTGATTTGTAATGCAAGGTAAGAAGATAACATTTTTTATTCTTAGCTAAATATTGAGTGGTAAAGAAAATTATGGAAAGCATTTTTTGTTTTTAAATTGACTCAGTTCATCTACATTTGTAATTGAAGTCTCATACAACATGTAGGTAAAATTTTATAGAATTGGATGTATGGTTAACAAAATAATTTCAAGCCTTCTCTGACATTTAATGATGGAAATTATTTTTTTGATTTTCAAACCAAAAATAACATGCATTTTATAATTGAGTAAGACATGACCACTCTGGATTGTATTCAGTCATGTATCAGCTATTCACTGAACCAGTAATCATCTGGAATTAAAATTCAAAAACATTTTGAATGGTCCAAAGGTACTGTTTGTTACAAATGTTCAGTACTAAAATATCGGTTGGAGTTTTGGCAGGTGAATGTAAGAGCAGAAATTAAAAATATAGGTAGAATTGCCTTTCGTAATTCAGTTAGTGATTTTATGTATAAGCTTATGTATAAATAGTTACTTAAATGAACATTTATTATTCTGTCTGCTTTCTTCATCATGTACTTCCTTTGTAATAAAATATTCAGAACACAAATTACTTGGGTCTGAATATATTTAAAAAGAAAAAAAGGAGTTATATATTCAGTTAGAATACTAGCAAGAGCAGATGGTAGGGACATTGCTCAGCAGTAAATAAGATTAATGTGTTTAGAGCTATTAAGATTGTGAAGAGAAAGGAAAGAAATTTAGCCTATTTAAGTATGAAGCAAACCACTGCCTGAACCTGACTTCAAGTTTTGTAAAAGGTTATTTCTTATAAACATGCCTAGAAAATGGGGCTTCACAGAACTGATATTATTTTTGGAATTCCTCATTTACATAAGGTATAATGTATATCCAATTTCTCTGTTTCAAGAATAACCACTTCAGATCTTTTGGGGGATGAAGTGTGGAATATAAGTGAGAACATGATAGCACTGCTTTTAAATGTAGGACATCAGCAGTTGCTTGAGTTTATGATATAAATCAAAGAACTATTTTTTAAGCAAAGCTGAAATGTTTTTCCTTTGATAAAACTGTAGTGCATTTCTACGTATCTGTTAAAAGGTGGAAATAAATACTTTAAAGATACTGAGTAAGTACTTAAATTTTAAGTATGTGAAATGAATTATCCTTAAAAACTTATTATCACTTCAGTATATTATTTAAATAGAATCCAACAAAGAAATCGTATTAGTTTATCCTTTGGAAAAGGGATGTCTTAAGAATTCTGTTATTCCTTTCTGCCATTTGTTCTGTGAAACCATCAGATTAGCTGAAACCTATTAATGCTGGAACTTAAGTTTTGATCATATTTTCATTTATAAACACACAATTGCTTAATGTTTTTAAATTAAGGGATGATGAAAGAGTTTTTTTCTGTGTGCTTTAGATGAAGGTTTACAGAGCCAATTAGTTTCTCATTAAACAGTTAATACACATACTGTTTTGTAACATTGGTTGCCAACCTCTTGACGTGTCAACACCCTCCCCTTCTCGACCTCGGGTTCCCCATATCCATTTGTCCATCTTTCCTGTCCCCTCCTCCTCGCCTCTGGGCTGGTGTGTCCATTAGTCTTGTATGTATTGTTTGTTTTATAGGCCTGTCTAATGTTTGGCTGAAGGGTGTACCTCAGGAGTGACTTCAGTACTGAGTTAAAACGGTGTCCAGGGGCCATACTCTCAGGGTTTCTGCAGTCTCTGTCAGACCAGTAAGTCTGGTCTTTTTTTGTGAGTTAGAATTTTGTTCTACATTTTTCTCTAGCTCTGTCGGACCCTCTATTGTGATTCCTGTCAGAGTGATCGGTGGCGGTAGCTGGGCACCATCTAGTTGTGCTGGACTCAGTCTGGTGGAGGCCGTGGTAGTTGTGGTCCATTAGTCCTTTGGACTAATCTTTCCCTTGTGTCTTTGGCTTTCTTTAATCTCCCTTGCTCCAGACAGGATGGAACCAGTGGAGTATCTTAGATGGGTGCTCACAAGCTTTTAAAACCCCAGATGCTACTCACCAAAGTAGGATGTAGAACATTTTCTTTATAAACTATATTATGCTGGTTGAGCTAGATGTCCCCCGAGACCATGGTCCCTAGCCCTTAGCTCAGTAACTCTGTCCCTCAGGGAGTTTGGATGTGTCTATGAATCTTTTATGCTGTCCCTCAGGGAGTTTGGATGTGTCTGTGAATCTTTTATGACTGCCTTGGTCAAATTGTGCTGGCTTCTCCAGTATTGTATGCTGTCTTACCCTTCACCAAAGTCAGTATTATCTATTGTCTAGTTAGTGTTTTTCCCTCCCCACTCCTCTCCTGCGTTATAACCATCAAAGATTGTTTCTTTCTGTGTGTAAACCTTTTCATGAGTTTTAAAATAGTGGTCTCATACAGTATTTGTCCTTTTGTGATTGACTTATTTCACTCAACATAATGCCCTCCAGATTCATCCATGTTGTGAGATGTTTTGCTGATTCATCATTGTTTTTTATTGTTGCGTAGTATTCCTTATGTGTATGTACCATAGTTTATCCAATCATCTGTTGATGGGCACTTAGATTGTTTCCACCTTTTTGGTGTTGTGAATAATGCTGCATCGAACATGGGTGGGTATATGTCTATTCGTGTGATGGCT